TTTAAGCCAATCCTTCGATCAGGCCAAGAGAGACACTGTAGAATCTCTTGGTGAAGAGCAAAATTAATGGATGATTTAATTAGATCAAATCACCACTATGTCTGATAGTTAGTAGGATATGTATCTGTCCATATGCCTTATGAGAAATTTGTATTTGTCTAATGTAGTATTGCTTTTTGGACATAGTGTGGAAACAAATAGGAGACACTCTCTTGGTAGTGCAAATTCTTGTAGTTAAAAATGCGAAATCAGTCAATTCCTCTAAGTATTTGTAACCAGTGCATTCAAGAGGTTAACTCAGTAGAACAAAAAGTTGAAATCACAAAGGTAGAAAAAGAAGTTAAACTAAAACTTCTCATTATATCGTTTTTACAGGCTGTGTTGGACGAGTGTTTCCATTCTAGGTTTTATTAGAGTCAGCTACACCATCATTACAGATAAGCTGTTGACCAAACTTTAACTGAGGTTGAGAACAACTATGATGTACAAAAAACTCTTGCATGCCAGTACACTTAAATATGATGGGGTTTTTACAGTCTGAGATCAATATAACAAAGAAAATTGTTGGTAATGAGCATTTTTTGTCTTCTTTGTTTATCCATCACAGTGTGCTATTAAAGTTTGGGTTAATAAAAAACCAGTTTCTTTACTATCCGTTACTGAGTATCTAACATAGACTGCACTGTCTCGTGACATTCACAACCTTGTTTGTAGCTGTAACAGTACCAAAGTCCTGTTTGATACCAAGACAAGAAAAACAAGTATATCTGCATTTAAGAGTGAAATCTAAATCCATTCTCAGTTCCTATTGTATAGATTTCAGGTGCAAATCCGTATCAGTCCACATTAAGCCAACAGCTATAATTACTAGTAACATTTTAAAGGTGGAATACACATCAGGGGATCCATTGTGCTTAGTGAGTTTAAACTTACTAATGGGCCATTGTGCTGGTACAGGGATTCAGTTTAATCACAGAAATAAAATAGGTTGTTAACACAATGGGGATAGAGCACCATGGCTGCCGTGGACTGTCATGCAACAAGCTTCTATCCTTCTCTGCCAGGACACTGAAAAAGACCTATATTTTTATTACTGAGATTGTGTTTTTATTGTACTCAAGACTTTAACAATTTAGAAATTCATGAATAAAATCACTTTGCAAAAAAAATTGTAAAAACAAATTGTTTAGTAGCAGTAGAGTAAATCATGCCAATGTGAGGAGAGAACAGATGTCATTGTGCCATATTGATCATAAACTGCTGAGTCATTACAGCGCCACAAGATTATTATTATTTTTTTTTTATAAAGAGAAATTGTCCTGTGGGTTTGCACCCTGAACGGCCTGTTAGGAGAAAACATTATCCTATTCAGGAACCCAACTGGAGCATGACAGAACAAAACTTTAACAGGTACATCTCTGACACAGCAGAGATCAGTCTTGATGGCATTACCTTGGAGCTCGCTATTAGGATTCCAAAACATGGCAGTGTTGACAGAAGGAGATATGCCAGTGCAGTCGGTCTCCTGGAAAGTGAATACAATTAATCTTGTTAGGGTTATTGAAATAATATGATTCTTATTTCATTTATGTACTGCATTCTGGTCATTATCAGAGTAAGAAAGTTCTCGGTTTTGATAAACTTAACTACATTCAACATACAAGAATCTGTACCTTCAGTTTTTTTGTAGGGTGACGAAGGCTGTGTTTCACCTTCTGACCACTTGGGTTTTACTTTTTTTTATGGGCAATATGGTAAATAAATGCTAAATGTATGCAATACTGACCACAGATGAATGGATGTAGTCCAGATAATTCACTGCATATTTTTGGAGTTTTGGAGGACGACAGTTATGATTCACTTTTGCCCATTTAGGGATAATAATTTGGAAACTTCTCATTTGGTGATAAGATATTGTTCAGTAAACTAACCCTGGGTCTCTATGACAGCTACGTCTGTCTGTGCATGCTTTGGAAAGTTAATATTTCCCCCCAAAATCAGTAAATGAAAACAAAAACCTTGTATATTAATAGATTTTTGGTAAGTTTTACACCTAAATAAAAACTTTTTTTCTAGAATCAAAAACGGTAAGTATTTATTTATGTCTTCCTTTTTAAGTATTTAGGGGGTCTGCTGTATTTCCAAGTCCTGAGATTATGGTGTATGTCCAATACATTTACTCATCATCTTCTGCCTATCTAGGGCCAGGCTGCTGATGAAGCAGAGACTCCTAGATTTTCCTCTCCCCAGGCACACCCTCCCCCTTTGCTCAAAGTCTGAGGCATTCCAGCTGAGAGAGATAGCCTTCACCGATTAGTTGACCCCGGTCTGGATCAGGACCCACCTGCTGGCTAATCTGGTTGGACAATTACCTGGATTCTACTCTCCAGGACTTTCCCAGGAGGCTAAGAAGTGTGACCCCTCTATAGTTGGAACAGACCCTCCAGTCCCACTTCTTATACAGGGAAACCACTACCCCAGTTCACTAGTCCAGGAGCACTGTCCCCTGACCATGAAGCAGTGTTGTAGAGCAATGTCAGCTACGACTGCCCAGCAACATTCAGAGACCTAATGTATTCAGAGTGGATCTTATCCATCCCTGAAATTTTTCCACAATGGAGTTTTCTGACCACATTGGTGAGTTTGCCCTGGGTGATGAACAAGTCCAACCTGAGCACTCAATTTCTGCTTCAGGCATGGAAGGCATGTCCGCCGGGTTAAGGAGATTCTCAATGTATTTCATCCACTGTCCAACAATTTACTTGGTCAAGTTTCAGTAGTTATATGTCCCACTAAAAACAGAGGCACCAAATGGTTTGCCAGGACCGCTTTGGGGCTAGCCAATAGTATTTCTCCATGGTCTTTCCAAACACTTCCCAGGCCACAGTTTTTGCTAATTAAGACTCAAACTTCAGCTTGAAAGCATCCCTTAATGCCGGTATAATCCCAGACCTTATGGACAGAACAAAGAGTGGCCACATTGAAAACAGAGGCAAGAAAATGGTCCTTTCAGACTCCATGTCCCCAGACTTCCCCAGAATCAAAGAGAAACACTACCAGTGAAGGGAGTTGAATATGTCCCTGAGGGAGGGTTGTGAGATGTGTTCCCGGCATACCCTCACTACTCATATTGGCCTGCTGAGTATGTTCAGTTTCCTCTTCAGCCAGGGAATCTATCGCACCAGGTGGGGTTCCGGTGGAAAGTTCTGCCCTTCACTTCGCCCAAGTGTCCAACACATGGAAATTCAACTACGAATTCAATCATTGACCTACGGCCAAGGGTGTCCTGGCGCCTGAGGAGGGACAAGCCGACCTACCCCAGCCCTCCCCTTCTCCCCGCAGGCCACTCCAGAGTAGCAGGGTTCCTAGCCTCTCTGAAGGAGCTAGCTCCAGAGGCCAGTCTTTGCATGGAGGTGAACCCATTTCTAGCCAGAATCACTCCACCTCCTGCACAAGCTCTGGCTCCTTCCTCCTCCAGCAAGGTGACATTTCACATCCCCAGAGCCAGCTTAAGTGTCCGTAAATCAGGTCACTGTGGCCTCTGCTTCATTCCCGTGCAGGTGGTGGATCAACTGGTGGATGACCTTGTGTGGCTCCTTCAGACTTGCCTGAGCTCCAGGGTGAGGTCTCAGCTCTTCTTGGTCATCATTAGGGCTTTGTGAAGTTCTTTTTGTCTGATCCATCACCCACAGCCTGTTTGGCTTGGGTGACCCCACTAGGGGCATTTAGGCCCATGATAACATAACCTCTGGTATCTTCCAAGCACTGAGACCCCTCCACCACTTTAAGGTGGCATTTGTCTATCTAATAAAGTTGAAAAAAAAAAAAACTAGAAAAAAAAATATAATTCCTCAACTCAATTTACAAATTACGAGACTTCAGAAGGCATTGGTACCACCAGATTTTATATAAGAACATCAGATAAAAGGGGTTCAAAAACAAATGTATGCTGTTGTATTTTCTTTTTTAATATGCAAAAACTAAATCAAATTCAAATTTTACTTTCACATCATTCTTTATATAGCATCTTAATTCTGACCTTTTTCTAAATCATTTTTCAAGTGTTAAGATTTGTGTATAACTCACCATTCTGTAATCTCTGAGATGAATCTCCGCTTCTTAAGGGTCACGTATTTTAGAGGAACCCACACCAGTAGGGTCCCAGAGGTCACATAGGCCATAGAGACTGCAACCACAAGCCAGTAAGAGGTCACACTTTCACCTGCCATATCGCTTATTAGGCTAGCAAATCTCTCCATGATTACAAAGATAGGGATGATGAGAGCTGCATATTGCAGCAGCTCGTACACAATGAGCTTGACCGTCTTGCCTGAGGGCATGGTTCCTGAACACTGGCGACTGCTTTAAAACTGGAGCTAAAGACTTTGACAATCATCTGCTTCAGAATGAGTCTGTGGGGCTGTTGAACTCTGGACATTGCTTACTCTGCACTAAAGACTGCATAGTTTTACTGCCAATCGACTGAGCAATTCAAACTTATGTTTTTATACCTACTGAGACAGAAGCAATATTCATTCTATAACTTGGCAGAGAAAATAGCCAGTGCCTAAATTATACAAAGATCCTATAAAAAGGATAGTTATACTGAAAGCAAGCAAATTGCAACAGACTAACATAAATAAATGATAGTTTTGCTAGTTTTTAATTTGAATTTTCTTTTTTGTACAACAGAATTAAAATATTTCCTAAAATAAGCTTTGTCTTTCACATGCATTTATGTCAGCACCTAAAAACAAGTCTCCATCTAGTGGCAAAGAATAGGTAGTTCTTACTGTTGGGGGGAAAAAAAAAAAAAAAGAGTAGTTGAACAAAATGAAAGAAACTCAAATATTTAAAGTTAGATTCATTTCTAAAATGCAGGTGGTATTAGTAGGCAACATATATCAAAACTTCAACCAAGGATTTCCTTCATGATGTCATTATTTCAAAGCCCCAGTCCCTCTGTGGTTTAAATATCAACGCAAATAAAGCCACACAACTTACTCTATACACTTGGCCTGGCTTTATTGTGAATACCAATTATTAGGCATGGTTAAAACATAGAAACAGCAGAGTACAACTTTGGACAGAACCTTTATGAGAACCTTGGATAAAAAAAAAAAAAAAAAAACACAGGCAGCATTTCAATCCTGTACAAGAAAAAAAAAAGTTACATCAGAGTTGCAGCCCAACGCTGCGGTGCAATAAGATGCTCCATTTAGATGATGACAATATACAGAAAACTGCAAGGTTTAACAGAGTAGATTCTCTTCCATTAAACTAAAGGCAACAAAAATAATAAGTAACTTATTTTATCTCAACTACATTTAAATTAAATTATCATTAAACAAAGTCTAAGTACTAAGCCTAAAGTAAAATTTGCCTTGCATTCTTTAGTTGGCAAGTAGCAAGACTCGACCTATAACAAAGAGAAAGCTAAATGAGAGAAGTTTTTCACCGTAGTACTGAAACCTTTTCCCAATTCTAGAGTTTAGTTTAGCATTTGTACTTCAAATTTCCTTCAAAAAGCATGATTTAATAAAATACACAGACATATTTATTTCATAAGTCAAATTTTTCAAACACTGAATCCTTCTCAAAGACTTGCTACATGTAGAAGCCATATAAATTATTTAGGATTAATACACTAAATGCATAATTTCATGTTGGGTGAGAGATAGCAAACTAAACATCATCTTAAACTAATGCCTCTTTATAAAATAAAACTTCCCTCAGTGTTAACACAAGTCTAAGAAATGACAGACACCTCTGGGGCTCAAGTTCAGTCAGTACTAATGTAACCATTAAACCTACAGTACAATAAAATACAAATTTCAAGGTTTTATCTGAAATATACATTGTAGTTGGGCAGAATATCACACATCCAACTCTTTTCTTGAATACATACATCCTGCAATACTTCATCAAAAATATAGCAATAATTAATCATAAATTAGAATGTACTACAATAAAAAAAAAATCAATAGCAATAGAGATGCTTTAAAATAAAAGTAAAACAAAAAATCTATGGGGCTCAGAGTTTTCCCCTTGTAACCACATCAGAGGTGCATACTTGTTGGCACAGCCCTGAAAGAGGTAAGGTGGCTGGTATCCCCTTAAAAAAGGATACAGAACTATTTGTGTCAGAAGGGAAATCAGGCATGTAGGGATAGTTATAGGTCTTTCATTCACCAGGGCTATGTGGAAACCAGAAATCAGTTTTAGAGAAAACAACAAGAACTGAACCAACATATATCCAACCTCGAGGGGGTTACTTCAGTACAGTATATACATGTGTCAGGTGCATGCTTCTGCTCCTTTTGTTTCTTTTCCCTACAGAAAATCAAAGAGGCTTCAGGTTTCAGTAAAAGTTGATGACACTTGTAAAATATTGAGAGGAGAACAATATTTTCAGTTTAGTGTTTTGCTTTAAATAAAGAAATAGCAAAAAAGAAAAACATGACTGTAACTAGTTGTAGTGGAGGAGCTTATTGTGGCACAACAAAGTCTTCAATCTTAGTGTTTTAAAGACCTCAGAGGTAGGCCTTTAAATAGCAACATGAAACGGCTATGGATAACACGCATCATTTGAATTACCTTAATTTAATTGCACTGATATAGCTACAGTTACACTTGGTTACTTGGTAAAATGTTTTTGTTTCTAAGAACCGGACATTTTTAAAGAAAAATTTGAGACAAGTTCTAATAATTATTTATAGGAGCATCCCAGTAATATATTTGAAGCGTTCATTTATTCTGTAATTTTGATAATTATGGCTTTCAGCTAAACTTAAACTTAGACTTTGTTTTATCAAAAAGGATATTAAATAATGCCCCTAGAAGAAATAAATAGTAGATTTTGGCTATCCAATGATGTACATAAACACAAAGAACATTTCTACCACAAAGGCTTTTTTTAGCAGTCTCAACAAGGATGGTCTAATGGCTAAACGTGTGAATCACAGCTAAAATCAAGGCGAAATATGTTTAAAAATGCTTTACTTTACTTTTCATTTTGAATTAGGTTTTAGCTATATTTTTTTAATGACCAAAGTCTTATTTTCTAATTAGCTGTAAGCCATAATCTTCAAAATACAGATATAAATGCTCAAAAACCTCTTCTTCTGTGTATATACTGTAGATTCAATGTAATTTTCTTCTTTTCAGCTGAATTACTGAATCTGATCAAATTTTTATATGCACACATAGTAAGAAATGTTTAAATTAAAAATAAAATGTGCACTAAAATTTCTATTGTTCTCTGTTTATAAATTTCTAGAAGACCGTTTTAAAACGTCTATATAGTTTTTGAAAAAAATCTAAAGAAACTAACAATTGTTAAATATGTAAATGTAATATTTTTTTTATATTTGAAGTGTAAGTTTTTTGTGGCCAGATTTAGATTAGGAGCTTAGACACAAATCATGACAAAAACACAAATCTGTCGAACCAAAATTGTTCCAACATCTGAGTAGTTAAGAATGTGCAAATATGATATTAAATGGATTTTCACATATGGATTCACCAAATAAAACACAAGGTGCACCAAATGCCAGTGTTTGCCTGATGTTACATTTTTTTAAAACTGTTGTTGCTCTTTAATGGGAACAACAATGAACTATTTCTTACAATGGATTAACCATATGTTGTTTGTCCTATCTGTAAGAAGGCCCTATAGCAGGGCTTTCTCAGAGTAAGGAGCCTGATGGACGTCTGAGGGAGGTGCTAAGCTTGTGCCGGATGGGTTGCTGTAGTTTGCCGTCTGCGACATGCTGGCAGGTGCTGAGCACGGTGCAGGGCCTGCCGTGCTTGCTGGATTTGGGTAGGACTGAACATCTGCTGGAGCCATAGTGCCAGGGGCTGCAGAGTAAACCGGTGGCTGGCCCATGTACATGTGGACATCGCTGTGTTGAGAGTAAGGAATGAGAAAACATAAGCATGGAGTTGGATATTCAGCCTATCCTACTTTTTATTTCATTTCACCACATAAGAGGATCAAATTACAAAACTGTAACAGAATGTTAACTTTTTTATATTTTGCTTTGCACATCTTGGGCTTTAAATGACCAAGCTAATGAATACATCTATGATTTATTGGTCTATTATGTGCATTGTACTACTGGCTTCAACAAAAGGATTATAATTTGCAGAACGACCAGAATAATAAGAATTGTGTTATTCTCATTGTCCATTTAGCTTATCAAATGCATTTACATTTAATCTGATAATGTTGTGTCTCCTCCAAACTGCACCTTCCCCCTGTGTTAGTGTTTGTAGCAATTGGGAATATTACACCCCCCAGCAAGAAAAGTTGATCAATCAGGTTAGTGGTATTCTAGTCATTCTAATTTAAAATTCCTTGATTATTCTGAAGAGGTTTAAATTCAACAGGAATATAGACAAGAAACAAAAGATTTTGTCCATTTAGGATCTGGCAAAAATAAGCACAATAAGGCAAAGGGCAAGAAGCAAAGTTTAGGAATCTAAAATCATTTGAAGGAGACTGATAAAATGTATTTTAGATTAAGCTAATATGCTATGGTATGTCAAGAAATAGATTTATGTTTCAGCAACTAACCTTGGAGCTGGCTGACCAGGAATGTGAGCACCAGCTGGAAGTTGCTCCACAGGGACCGTATATCCTTGCACCCCAGTACTGCTCATGGAGTAAGAGCCTGACACAGGCTGACCGGGGTAGACCTGAAGACAAACACATAAACGCATTCTAGTCTTGCCATATGTAGTGAGGACCATGAGTAGAATTCCATTGGCTGCCATAAATTTTCATCATTTTCAACCCTTTGTGTATCCTAACCATGATAATAACTCTAAACCTAATCATGATCAGTGCATACCTTATCCTAACCTTAACTCAGTTTGCACTATAACTCAAAAAACAACCGTAAACAAAACAGGAAGTAAGGACCAGCACAATGCCCCCACTTTGGTACAAACTGTTCTCTATTTGATGGTGACAGGAGCACACACTCACACAAAAAAAGTAAATCGCATTGCAATATACTAACAAAGGAAGCAAAATTCACTGTGAATTGAGTTAGAGGTTGACAGTTATCATTACTTGTTTGGAATTTAAAAAAAAAAAAGATTCCATCGTTTTAATTTCAGCACAAGTTATGTAAACTGACATATTGCAAGCAGAGAGAAAAACTCAAACATATTTACAGCACTTAAAAACAAACAACCATATTTCCAAACACATCAAAGTCCAAACATGAACTGTACCTGCTGTGCTGCATTAGCAGGCTGTTGCATGTAGTACTGCTGGCTCTGCAGCTTGGCATACATGGCATATACTGGATCTTCATTCATCAGCTTTGCGTAGAGAGACAATGCCTCCATCACCTTCACATTTAGCTCTGACAGCTCAGAGTGCTTCCTAGTGACGCACACCAAAAGATTAAAAGTTTGGAAACCTCTGAGCAAGTATTCAAGCAGCTACTGCACTCAATGTTTATCTTCATACAGTCACTCTTAATTATTTAAGGAAATGTTACATTCTTTATCTATTTACAGTTTGCAGATATTTTAGAAAGGATGATCTGTGTTGGATTGGCAACCTATTCAGGGTGTACCCCACACTGCAAAAAGCATTTTCTTGAAATGAAAAGGTAAATGAGACACTTTGCCAATGGAAAAAGACAATTTACATTTAAAATAATAAGGGGGAAAAAATCAACTGAAGTTTATTATTTCAAGTGCATAATATCTATCTTTTTAAGAGTGAAAATACTCATTATCATCTTATTTACTGACTCAAATTAGGGGTAAATATACTAATTTTGAGAAATGTTTACTCATTTCTAAAGCATTTTTGCAGTGTGTTTTTTACTCGAAGACTGTTGGAGATAGGCATCAGTCCCCATTGACCCTAATGGATAAATGGCAGAAGATGGGTGGGTGGGGGTTTAAAAAGTAATAATATTTTCACTCAACATGCTATAAGCCATTAGAGGAATACATGATTAATTAACCATGGCAAAGAGAAGGGACCAACATACCCGTCTATATCCTCCAGCTTCTGGTCAATGAGGGGTCCCATTTGATTACAGGCACCTGAGGAAAAACAAATAAATAAAAACAAAGATTGTTTTCTCTCTGGTAAACCATTTTTTTTTAACTACACTCATATTTTTACCTTCCAGCTGGAGTAACTCAACGCTGTCTGACTGGTTGTCAGTAGGATCTGCACTTTGAATCATTTGGAGCAGTTGGTCCATTTTGTCCTAAAAAGTTTTAAAGTTTATGTGATAAGTTAAATCTACATGAACCAAAAAAAAAACTAAATTCAGTAAATACCACTCATATTAACATTAGCAAGTACCAACTTTAAAATGTGATGCTCAAAGGTCCTTACTGATGGAACTAATGCCAGTCACAGAATGGATCTTACCTCGTCTATATATACAGGCTCCTGTTCAGGCTCTATTGTCTCTACCTGGATCTCCTCACTGAACTGCACAGTCTTCTTCTCGGTTTTTACTGCAAATTAACAAATGAGACATAGAGCAAGCAATATTTATTTAAACAAAAACAAAAAAAAACCTTTATATGATATAAGTAAAATCTGTTAAAGGTTATCGATGCCTCCGGCTTTAGATAACATACTAATATGTAGATCCTTTATAGTCCGTTTTTTAAGTCTACCTGTTGCCAAAGAAACATAAGCATTTATTTTTTTCTTTAACTGACATCTTCTTCCAATTTTATTCAGTTACACTTTCAAATCATCTCATGTTTGTCCTGACTTTTATTAATCCATCATCAAGCATATAATGGTGTTGCCCTTCCCTCATATTGTTTTGCACTGCAATTGTAAGATGTGGAAACAAAAGGTGCTCCACTCGTCATCCCTATAAAGGTGGAACTATTACTACTTTATAAGCGTTGGTCCACTGGGGACATGTTGCAACAGCTCAGGTGTTTGCAACGCTAACGTCAGCATCCACAGTGTGGTATATATATTCTCAAGGCAGCCCATAGATGAGCTTCAGAGCAAACAGCAAGTCCACGTTTAAAAAATGAAACACCTCCGTGATAAAACAGATTGCAACATGGATTTATTGTCTTATTAACTGGCAAAGAGAGAAAGTAGCCTAGGAGGTATATAACTTTTAATTTTACTAATTTCCACCTTTACATCTTTTTCAAAGAACATGTATAAAATTCCAGGAGTTTCTAAACAAAGCTCAATTATTCAAACTTTCAACCAATCAGAATGTTCAATAACCTAAATAATGAATAAAGACAAATATTTGTGTGGCTGTACCAGTGTTGTGTTTGACAGCCATCTTAGATTTAGTCTAAGTTTTAGTCTTCAGGACGGAAACTATTATTTTATTATTATGTGATCAGTTTTATGTTGTACTTCATAATACAGTTATTGTTTACAATTTCAAATAACAACCAGATTCTTTACCAGACTGACAGCTCTTGCCTAGATACTACAATTGATGGGTATAAAATGCTGCTGTACAGTTCATCATTGTTGTTGGGTGAAAAACTTTGATTTATAGAATTCAGATAAACTTTATGAATTAATACCCTACTTTATACAAAAGTGTCTCACAAAAGTTGTGAAAATAGCAGATCTAGTTCAATATATTTTTAGAATAGTATTAAGTAAGTATTATTTTCTTTAAGCAGTGGCTGGTGCAATAATGTCTTTGCTGGCTAAAATGAAAACACTTGCATGATATCAGAAATATTATTTCAGACTGTTTCAAAAAAAAAAAAAAAAAAGGAGATCAAATATTTATTTTTATTAAACTTACATAACCTCACAATGATTCATGCTTAAATCAGGTTTTCAATTTTAAAAAGATAGCCACAGTCAACGACTAAACATAAAAACCGAGAAAAGTAAAATTATACAGATTTAATACCCAAGGATTAAGCCCCCCTCTGTAGAATTAAATAAAAAAATGTATCTTAGCATCAATATCGGGCTATAGCATCAATATAACATCAGCATCAATATATAATCAATATAAGCTTTTCATATCTTAGTTTATTATCAGTCGGTATCAAAAATTATGTTTTTTTTTATCCATTTGAAATAAAGATTCAAATTTCAATTGTAACCATGAGCCCACTAAGGTCAGCTCTACCACCAGCCTTGCTTAGCTTGGTCATGAGACGTTGAGAGACAAAATCTTTTCCTCAGCCTGCATCCTCTAGAATGCTGTGCTGTTCTGGATCTTAGTTTAATGACTTAACATAAGATCCTTGACACATTTTCTATTGATATTGATCAGGTGTGTGTCACTATGCATATTTTATTTTTTTTTTTGCCCAGCCATTCACGAATACAGCATAAGTTATTTTATTCAATGTACAAACAAAATCATTTGCTATATGCTTGTAAAATTGCATTAATCAATTTACATTAAACTTTTGTAAATATTGCGTAGGAATGACACTGCAATGTTGCAAAGAAAACACTAAAGGAAACAGATAAAGCATCGAAATAAATGAGTTATGCTACGATGCTTTGTGTTAAGCAGGAACTTTTGCTAAAAGCCCTACACACTTAGTGGTTTATTATATAGAAACATGGAGTGGGGCTTTTATTGGATGTGTGGATCAGACTATCAGTCACTGGAATCTGAATGATGTACACCAGTTGTTTACAAATGATAAATTATCTTCCACTCCAGTTTCCATAAAGCCGTTATGGCATGACTAAATACAGTAATTATAAAAAGGGTTAGTGATATCTGAAGATATTCCTAGATATTTTTTGATACTTACTCATCTCGGGCTCAGCAGTGAGATCAGCAGTGACAAAGTTGGAGGGAAACAGGCCGACTCCTTGGTACGTTTCCCCTTTCCACCAGTTGGGGTCGCTAAAAAAAAAAAAAAAAAGAAAAATATGTCTTTAACAATTGTAAGTGGTGAGTTTACTTAAACTTTAACATTATAAAATAATTAGGCACCACTCATTTAAAAAATATATGTTTCAGTTAAAACATGCACTGTCCTTCAGAAGTAAACTACAATTAGTAAAATGTTATATACCACGAAACAAATGTTTAAGGCTACTAATTTCAACTTTTTATCTAAGTTCACCTGTCATCCAGGATAGTGATGATTTCTCCAGACTTAAAAGTGAGCTCATTGTCCTCTGCAGCCTCAAAGTCATATATGGCGCGGACCTTTCTGCCGTCAGACTTGTGTGTGGAGAGCAGGCTGGAAGTGCTTGGGTAAAGGCTCGACAGGGAGGTCTGTGGCTGCTGACGTTGCTCCTTTAGTGACAGCTCAATAGCTTCATACAATGGGGAGAAGATTGAGCATTTATACCAAAGCAAATGTGCAAAGGTACATACAGATTGGGTAAAGAGTTATTTCTACACCCGTTATTTATTATTTCTGAAGCCTTTGTACCTTTGGCTAGATCTTCTTCCTCTTTTTTATTTGTTGTGGTGGAGGGATCCTTTGCCACCAGTGCTGGACTTGCTTTTGCTTGTTCTGCAGCCTGAAAAAAGGTCATTATATCTCAGAAGAATGAAGAATAATTTAGCCTTGTGTAGGCAAGTTAAACTGTGCTGCATCTACTAGAACAGAATGAAGAAAATAAGTCACATTATTTTGTGTATTCTTAAGATCTACCTGGGAACCCACAGCTGGAAAGGTGACACCTTGCTCACGTAGGTTTTTGATCATCGCCGAGATGAGACTGAGCTGTGGATCATTGCGGAAATCCTCAGCCCACTCCACCATCAGTGCCTTCAGCTTTTCACATACTTTTGGGTGACCCTAATTAGAACCAAGTTAGAGAATTATTCTATTTATTTCTATATTTATGGAAGAGAAACTATTGGAAATTGCAATTCAAATTAACCACAGACCTTGTTTAAGACATTACTGACTTCACTGGCAAACTCTCTGGAACAAACCTCCAAGTGGAAGATTTTACCACAGTTTGAAACACAAGCACCCAGGAGCTGCAAAGACAGAGAGAACAGGATGCAATTATTTAAAAGCTGCAACCCAAATTCAAATATATGACAAAAATAAATCTGGTTCTTTTGTATCCGAGTGATTTGCAACAAGGAACACAGGCATTGGATATGTGATCCGTTAGTGAGTTGGAGAACATACAGCCCTCACAACGTCCATTAGCAAATTGCCAGTGCACTAACCAACTTAAGTCACACTGCCGTTTAGCTCAGCAGAACCTTTAAGAGCTGTGTTTATGGAATAGTATTTGGAGTTTCACCCTGTTTCAGTAAGGTCAAGGTGAGTTAGGAAGATTCTAAGGGCCCTTGACTGAGGGGGGCCCCAAAAGAAGAAGAAAAGATATGTGCTGCTATACTTTTTAAATATAAATTCAGCAGTGAAATAAATAAACTTTGTTTTCTCCTTCATTTTTCAGCAGTAAAGAGTGAAAAAAAGCAGGATTATATATACACCCACTCACACTTCTTTTAATGAGACGAGGAGCTGTTTCCAACGTAAGGTCATCACAACCGCAAGCTGTTGCTGCTGGGCTGCTGACTGGACCGGACCGGGCATTTGAACCGAGCCGTGAGCTCAGGGGTTGGTCCGAAAACCCGGCAGATGGGGACAGAGCGACCAAACCCTTCCCCCCGTCACCGGGTCAGGTTCGGTTGCTCCGTCCCCAGCGCCGACCAGTCCTGGAGCTCACGGCTCGGTTCTGCTGCATTGTAGTCGACCAAAATCCCGGACAATTTTGAAATTCCCCCCAAACATTTTTTTAGGTATAAAAAGAGGACGTCTGGTCTCTCTACCATATCAACAATCTTGATGTTTCAGTGAGTGAGTGCTTGTTGCTATGATGCGTCTTTGTTCAGCAGCTTAGGTCATTGTAAAGCAACCAATCAGCGCACAGCTCATCTAAATATTCATGAGCAAACCATAAAGGGAAGAAAACCTGTCGTTTCTTTCTAGGGCCTTTAACCAGGCTTACATAAGGGCTCATAGAACAGCAAATATGCCTTTTTCAGCCCAACCAATGTTACACACCCTATATAGAGACCTTAAGGACCAGCACCAAATACCCTGTATAATCATTCTATGACCCCTTTAGGTGCCACAGTGAGATAGTGATAAAACTAATTTACAAGAAAATGTACAAATAAGCAGCAGAGTGGTAAAAACGTCCATGTCTGAAAAATGCAGCACCCCAAAGTCTGGGTTTCAAAAAGGAAAGAAATAAAGGAGAAAGAGGAGAGAGGGAGAAAGGCGCACAATACCATGACCCAGTTTTTCAAGAAAGGTTTTTTACTTGAATGGTTGAAACTAACGATAGATTATTAAACAGTTAAGTAAAATAAGTTAGCTGTCAACTGGCTACTACTAATTACTTAATCCTGCTAAAGGTCGGAGGGGAATAACATCATTAATGATGAATTTTTTTTAATTTTCTTTGTTGCGTTTCATTTTTTTTTTCCAAGAAGAAAATTAAAAATGAAAAAATGCACCACTTATCATGGGAGGCTTGCCTTATGTCAAGAGGGTGAGAGGTCATAGAAAATGCTGGACTCAATGGATGCGTCCGTAATTAAATATGACAAAAATACATTTCAGAATGTCATAAAAAATAGCTTTGCAGAATTTTATTTTCAATTAGCATATTTTATAGCAAGTATATTGCTTGCATAAGTTATGTTCACTCCAAAACAGTAAATTTCTGCTTTAAGTTTGACCTGATATACAGGTTTAATAGCCATGGTGTGGTATTAACTCATAACAATTTTTAAAAAGGCTTCAAAAGTCATAAACTTTACATTGATAGACAGATAAAGGAATACATTGTTAAACCCACTGAACAGTTTCAGAGTGGTCGTTGGTCTCTTTGCAACCAACAAGTGTGCTTTTTCATTGCTATGTTAAAGCTACAGCTAAAATAACACAGCAGATTAATTGATTATCAAATTAGTCATTAATTAACTTAGTGGTTGAATAATCTCTAAGTGCAGTACACAATTGCTTAAGGGTGTCAAGTGCTTAAAGAGCCACCGACAGAGCATTTGTATCATTTTAACTATGAAAAAATGTTTTGTTAGATATCATAAATACATTTTCAGTAAAGCTGATAAATGTCAGAGCGGCCATTTAAAATGTGTAAACATTTCTAGATATATAAAACGTAATTCTTAGCAGTATTTTTTTTTTGTTTTTTTCTCAAATTTAGTTTCTGCTACAAAAATGTATTAAAAAAAATATATTTCTACAGTTAGGTCTAGGAGTGTGATTTTGATCAGGAAGAATCTTATTTCAGTGACCTACAAATGGCAACAGAGAGGAGTAAAAAGATCTTACCACCTCATATAAACTTACGCATTAACTCGAGCAACAATCTTCACCTATGCCACCTTTCACCCCTTTGTACTGTAGCGCTGTTTCTCTGTCTTTTAAACACATTCTCCTTTTTTTACTTTATTTTTTTTATTTCTGCAATATAAAATCTCTAGTTCCAATGGGTTGAAAAAGGCACTTCTTGTTGGGGTTCCACTTAAGCTGCGCACGCGCTTAACTCTGAGTGGTTAAAATTGATTGAACTAATCGATAGCAGCCATTGTAAAACCGAACACTCAGAGTTCCCGACTTTAGGCTAGATCAATTTAGAGTTTTTAGATTTGAAACTGATTTTGTTAAACCTGCCTCATGAATCTGACCCCTGTACACTTTAAGAGGCAATGTTGCTGCTTCATCTGGTTTGTATTCTGTAAAAATCACACAAAGCATTGCATGCTATCAGATTATTAATAGAATAATCAAGAGCCTAAATATTTAGCTAATTTTTTTTATTTTTAATTACAAATGTAGAGCTGGAAAAAATATCAAGTCACTTAAATTCCTTCTGCACTGCAACAGGCTTCAAAAGAACTGTTTTCAAGTTTCTGAAAACAAATTCCCAGAAGGACAATTTAAAACTTTTTGACAGTCCAATGACAAGCCTTTGTACTGAGAGAAGGAGCCTAGTGCAGTAAAAATCAAATGTCACAGTTTAAAGCTCCTTGTCAGAATAAAAATCCAACTAAAAACCACACACATGCCTTATGATCACTAACATGATTCAGAATAGTGACAGGGATGTTTTGGATTTCTATGGCATTTTGTGCCACTGGCCTGGGCATGCATTGAGAGCGCCGTGCTGCATTTAAATTGCTCCCCCTCACTCAAAATCTGTGTGCTGTGCACTCAACTCAGAAAAACTCTGCTTTGAAACCTGTGCACTCCTGCTTTAGTGCTTTACTTCATGCGTTTCATAACGTGTCTGCCTGCTGGCTGTGCTGTTTGTCGCATCATCACAAGTTTCTGCCATGTTTTCCGGTTTTAAATGGCTATTGGACGAAAACCAAAAATGCATTTTTCAGCAATGTCTGGACAAAAATATTCAACGGCAAAATTTTCGATGCGAGTATACTAGGAAACTAATAATATGTTTTTAATTCAGTGTTGTGTTTAAAAAAATGAAAGAAAGAAAAAAAACAAGTAGAAAGATTTTATGATTATAAATACAAAACCAAACCAACAATAAGAATCATAATAGTAAGAGCAATTACAAACAATAACAATAGTAAGTGCTAGTATTCTACATATTTTTTGATTAAGGGGCAAAAAGGCACCTGGATAATGCCCAACACCATAGCGTAACCCAACACCATAGCCTTCAAATCCTTCCAGGCCTAACTGTATGCAAAACAAGGCTGTTTGTTTACAGTTTACTTACAGTCAATGCCTGCATGGCCACGTGGGGATCCTTGTGATTTACTCTTCTCATTATAGAGCGCAGACATTCTTTAGGCCTGAAAGGAACAAGCAGAACTCAGATGTCTGAAGGAGTGAACAGAAGAAAGGTTACAGTCCCTTTGAAAAGTATAAGCCTTGAATTTTTTTCCACATTAAAGCCCTAAACTTCACTTTATTTTATTGAGATATCTTACTAACAAGCCAACATCAAAGTACTAGATAGCTGTACATAGAGAGAAATTGAACTGTTTAGGTTTTGAACACAACTTAAAATGCAAAAAGTTAGAAGCACAATTTGTTTTCAGGCTCCTTTCCCCTGATACCCTGAAATTAAACCCAGTGTAACCAAGTGACCAAAGAAATCCCCTATTTAGTAAACACAGTTCATTGTCTGCTATTTAAACTCATAAGCTCTGTTTTCTGAAGGCCTTGAAGGTTTGTTTAAGAACAACAGTGAATATATAACATCATTAAAACCAAGGAATAAAGTAGGCAGTTTGGATGTCAAAAGCAGGTCTAGGCTTAAAAAAAGAAAAGAAATGCAAGCTTTGAGCATCTCTAAGCACTTAAAAACTATAAAGAAATGGCCATACACCTTAGCAAACAGGCAAAAGAGGCATTAATCAAACAAACTGCCAAGAAGCCCATGTCATTCTAGAGGAGCTACAGCGATTTGCAGCTGAGGTGGAATAATTACTTGAAAGGAAAACTACAGTTCTGCCATGCTGTTTCTTTTTGTGCCACTTATCAAATCAGGCCTTTATGGGAAAGAAAGCCATAGGACATCCCATTTGTACTTATTCAGGGGGCACAGCATGGAAGATACTCTTGTCAGATGACGTTTCAAGCAGAAAAGAAAACCGCACACCATCCAAAAAATAAATAAATAAATAAAATGTTCCTCTGCTGTAAAAACATTTTGATCTAAGGATGCTTCTCTTCATCAAAGACAGGAAAGCTCCTCAGAGTTGATGTGAAGATGAATAAATTATAAAGAGAGGGCGATCCTGGATGAAAACATGCAAGATGCTTAAAAATACAATGAGTCAAAACCTGTGTTTAGAACTACAACACCATGGTGTGGATCAAACAATATTCATGCTACAATGGGCCAACATAAATCCAAACCTGAAAGAAATTTATAATTTCTGGAAAAACTGAGAATGTTATGTGGATAGACGCGTTTGACTAAGATTGAAGCATTTTTTTTTCAAATAAAAAAGAAATTGAAAAGCTTTGAAGCTGAAGAAGAGCATGACGACTTGGACCCACGGCCACAGTAAATGGTGGCTCTACAAAATATGGACTTGGGGCTGAAAACAAATGTGCACCTCACTTGAAAGCAAAAAGTGTGTTGTTTTATACGACAAAGCGTGCAAAATTCTGAGAGTTTGAATATTTTTAAACCAAACTACTTGTAAATATTTATTCAATCATCCAACACCACATGTCTACAATAAAAAAAGAAAAAAAAAATGCAAAAGAAAACCAAATAGTTTTATGTTCCACTTTAAAATAAAGGTTAAGTTACCCAGTGCGGGACTGTCCTATCTTATCACATATGTCCAGAATGAGGCCCCAATCCTCAGCCGTGTTCATCTCACTGGTTGCTTTCTCTGTAGGGGAGAAGCACAGCAGGAAATATAAGCAGAAATTACACAGATAGCAGGATTTTTTATTCTATTTACCCTTTATTTTGGTTCAGTTTTTATAGAGGGGGGTAGGAAGAGAGTAATTGTACAAGCTAGAAAAAAAAACACATTTGCAAGTGATTTGCCCACTTTCTATTTTTATGATCATATTTTGTTTTAAACAAATTTCTGCCTCTGACTTGTCAGTGGAGAAAAAAAGTCCAGTGTGTATTTATGCAAATGAGTAGGACCATGGCATGTAGGCCTAACACTGCAAAATAAAGCTTTTATTTATGTTAGGTAAAAAGTGTTGTTGTTAAGAAAGATTCAGACTCTAGCAACCTGTATTAATTAGCTGACAGTTCGCTTTAGCCTCCCTGCTTTTCTGCAATAGCGGAAGAATTTCGTTAAATTTTTACATATCTTTTATTTTTCCATTAAGGCCAGTGCTAATTAAGTTAATTTTGATGTTAATTTAAGGATGGCCAATTTTTTCAGGGTTACAAAATAACAATAAAACAGTACAAAAAGCTTTCCTATGGATCCGGAAGAGTACATTAATAAAAATGTTAATAACAGCTGCAGTTTTTCCACTTATATGTTGAGATAGATACAGCTGTTTACATTCCAATCCGATGAGCTTTTAAAAAGTCTTATAAATTGTGGTACACACACAAAAGAACTTTTTAAAATATTAGAAGATACATGATGCAATTCTTTGAACAGAACTTTACAGTGATTGAAATCTTGGCAAAACAAATAAACCTGGTGTCTCTCTATATTTCAGCTCTCTACATGGAGGCTTTCAGTGGTGATGCTTTATTTGGCATGGGCCACCCATACAATAAAGACTAAACGCTCACTATATGATCAAATTAAGTCTCACAAAAGGTTTGAAAACCAATAGAAATGATTTGTGCAAAAATGTATTGAGGAAAAGACAAAAACATATCAAACAGTATGTCTCTAGGATGCAATAACCAGCTATAAGGAGAGTAACTAAACCAGCCAAAACTGACTTTATTATTAATAAAAATTAAACACCGTTTTCCCCACTATCCCCAACGGTTTAAGGCAAAAAGTAGTTATTAGAGAGGGGTTAGAGAGCTGCAGTCAATACCTGCTAATATCATAACTAATTTCCAATATAAGCCCCATACAATTAGGTTTTTACTTTAACATCTATTAGAGATCATCATGATTGAGGTGTGACAGTAAAAAAATATAAATATCCATTTTTCTACCATGAACCTGATTAGCTGCTACATTACTGGTTGTTTAAAAACAATGTAAACAAGGTTATTTTATTACAAATAAATCAAAGCAGAGAACAATAATAAGACTAATCGTTACCATAGGGAGCCTGTTTATTCAAAAAGTTATAGATAATTTTTTACTTGAAAAGTTAAAATCACAAAACAGTTGAGGCTAAACACACCCAGAGCAGCATTAATGGCTGGGTTGGATTGTACTGTACTTATTAGCTCTATAGGGTGCTCAGTGGGGTTTTCCCTGCTTACTGTACAAGCAGATGAAGTGGTGAACCATTCCACAGAGAACAAAGAGAAATACAGCATAACCCACTGGTTTTAGATCCCACCACATCCCATTTAATTTCTTAGCTCATTTCAGGCTGGTTAACCCAAACACTGTGAGCTACAGAAAGCTAATCATCAAGCATAGAAATCATTAGCTGCAGCAGTTAGCTGATGACAGCATCAGCTTTTGACCTCAATTAGCTTGATAAAAATAAACAAAAACACATGTAAGCATTTTTTTTACCACCGCTGCTTTGTAAAACATTTTTTATATAAATAATGGGACATTTAAAAAACTGCGGACACCCAAACAAAGCTGTCTGATGTCAGCTGCTCCTGTTAGCCTGATTATTACTCACCAACATCTTGGTCAAAGGGATTGGTGGTGAAGAGAGGCATCGCTGGGGTCTAATATGTTTGCCTTCTTTAAGATGTTGCTTTTCCTCCTCTTACTTCATCCAGAAAAAACACATAGTAACACCAGCAGCATATATTAAAGGGAGCTAGCTGACTCTTTTCTACACAGTCACTCCTTCTCTCCAGACGGCAACAAGCGATGCATGCTGGGTAAATGTAGTGGATAGTCTGATAACAAATAAAGGCGCAACACCAATAACAACTCTCGGCGCCTAAAGACAAACACTCCTCAGCGGCAAATTAAGTGACTCCACATCAGAGAAAATACGAATAAAAAATACTCCTTTTTTTCTTTTGTTGTGAAAAAAATAGCGTGTCATTGTCAGGTGACGTTGATCACATGACGCTCTGTTACGTTCATTGTTTTTTTTTTTTTAAAGAAAGAAAAAACACGATCTATTTGGTTACTATAGCATTGTTTAACAAGACATTTAGAATTACATTTCATAAACTCAATTTTCTATTTAATTACTATATTTATTTATATAAGGGTGGCCAGGCAATAACCAATGTACACTAAGGGTTGGCCCAAAGTTGATCGGGCCCAGAACCTCAGGGCAGTGGCGGTTCTAGACCAAATGTACCAGGGAGCCAGGCGGGGGCCAGCGTGTTTTCATGGGGCAGAAAAGCCTGAAATAAAAAAGAGGGCATGGGATTCAAATATATTAATATAGCAGCATGAAGTTAAATTTCTATTCAATTAGGTTTAATTCAAATTATATGTCGTATTAGGTTTATATTATACATTCAGAATTTAGAAGTTTTACATAGTTTTTACTTAATTCTAGTTAAAATTAATGTTTTCTATAAAATCTGAATTAGAACTAAAGAAAAACTGATAAATTCAGCTGTATTTTTTTGTTTTTGTTTTGAAAACAGACATTTAGCAGATGAAAAACTGCTATCTCAATACCACTGAAGCTATCATCTTATTGTTTTTAAATAATTAGTAAAATGAAATATATCCAAAGGACCTATCAGTAACCATGTCTGTTCCAGTGCATATCATCATTAGAATTTCTTTTAGTATAAAGGGGCCAGGCCATGATCTACAGGGGCACTGGCCCCCGTTGGCCCCTGTCTAGAATTGCCCATGCCTCAGGGTTAGGCCTAAGATGAGAATAACTACTTTCCTACAGCCTTTACTAACAAATAGACGCATATATTTAAACATCCGTGCTTTCTAGATAAAAGGTATAGTGGATAAAATACTTTCAGGTTTGAGTTCTGGGGCAAACATCTTTTCCATTGTCATTACTTACCTACTTTTATCAATAATAACTCTGCTTAAAATTGATATTTAGATGTCTTTACATGTCTTGTAGATGACTTGCAGAGACGCATTTTCTCTATACCCCATATAACACAAAATCTAGTTCTGAAAAGAGCATGGATTCTGTACCCATCATCTTTATTGTTAGTATATTGATGTGTATAATTAACCACATTCTTTTTGTTGTTTAGAAATTACATGGAAAAAAATAGTAAGCAATATATAAAAAAATTAAAATGAAGATTCCACTTGATAGTGTAACTGCTGCCACCATCTGTAATAAAGGGAAAAGAATGGTAGGAGAGGCCAATGATTTGCTTAGGGTGGCCATGGCAATCCCTGTCCCCCCATCTAGCTCCGCTCCTGCTCCTATATTCTCTGTCTTTTTTATTTTGAAATAAATTAACTACATGTGTAATGATTAAGCTAAAACAGAAAGAAAATTAAAATTTAATAATTTACAAATTACTAAAATAGGTGTGGTCATGTGTAGCATGGAGTATGGTTTTGTTCATATCATTTAAGAATAACATTTAAAATAGCTATAAAATAATTATATAATACAAAGAAAAACATATGTAATTTTTAGCCTATATTTCATATCACACTAATAAAACAAATAAATATTTTTATAGATACAACTAATAAATATTCATCACCAAATAATTATAATTAAAAAGTTTAAAAGTTATGATGGTAGTAGCAATAATACCATGAAAACCACCAATAATGTCCTCTGACCGGCCAGGGGGCACCTTCTTTACCTTTGCTGTCATTATCCGTGGGCACAGTTTCAATAATAATATTACATACATTCAGCCCCTCTCACCCAATGACAATGATGTCCGATTTCTATGCTATGTTTCCAAATTAAATATTTTGCTACTTTATGAAAACCTTATCTTGACTAATGCATTTATTGGACACAGCAAAATAAGATGTGAATCCAACTTTAACAATACTCACCTTATCATTTGTGTAATACAGAGCTTTCCTCCATTTTTCTTTATTATCTTCCTTTTCTTTTCTCTGTTGTCTGCTTTTGTTTTGTTTAAGCTTTATTTAATGGTGTCATGAAAAAAGGACAGTATCATAGCTGGACAACCATAGTCATGTAGAAGCACATTGGACAGCCCCATTTTTAGCTAAAAAGAAAACAGTTTTCATTATTTATCCAGTGCAAAAGGAATCTGTGACAAAAAAACAACGCAGCATGTGTGTGGAAGATCAGGCAGTTAACGAGAAGATGTAATCAGTATCTAGAAACTGATTTGGAAAAACAAGGTAATTTTATTTACTGGTTAATAACACAGGTCAATAAAATATATTAGTAAATATGGCTTTATACATTGACTGTATATAATTTAAGTCTTTCGGAACATGTGCACACCATCGCCCCAGGGGTTATTTTGGGGGATTCCAAACATTGGGTTCCATATATTGATTAATATAGCAGACTTATTTTTATTTTTTCATCTTTTCCTAAATACATACCTTCAGTGAGTGATTTCCAGGTAAGAGTCGTTGTTTTCTTGGCAATATTTAAAGAAACAATCAGGGGATTTATATATTAATCTGGAAATGTTTTAACTTCAGTATAAATGCTAAGTAAACAACAGGTTAGGGAAGCCGGGACTCTGCAACTACAAACGGCAGAGACATTTTCAGTTTATGATATCCTGATTAGATCAACAGATGTGCAGGTCAAAGTGGTTTTAAAGTATTGCTGATGCTGTTTGAGACATATGGTGTGCATTTTGTGTGTCAGCTAAAAATGCTACCTTAAGCATTTATTTGAGCAATGTGGTTTCTGTGAATTATTTTATACCATATAGGTTGTAAGTTAGTTAAACGGGCAAAAAATATCTTATCGATTTTGATCCAAAGGTCTGAGTTGGAAGAAAAGGCCAGAACAGTTTCCCATGTCTTGTTCTGAAACTGCTGATGTTATGTCTGAGGTGCATATTAATCTATACAGTTTGCATAATAATATAATGGAGAAGCTCTTCTGTCCTTACTCCAAACATCTGGACCAAATCACTGAAATCTATAAATTCATTACTCTGAAATAGATGTAAGAGGGGGAGTGATCCCTTTTTGCCAATGTTGAATAGTAGAGTGGTTTATTTAGTGCTTGAAAGTCAGGGCTGTGCCATATTGGAATATTCTCACTAAATCTTAATGACATTTTGGCGATTCCTTTAACTTTCCACCATGCTGTCAGAGTACTTTATTGTCTGTGTAACATCTATATTCTCAAAAACAAGTTACCTCGCACATTCCATTGCAGGACTTATGAGACAACACATTAGAAAAGACAGCTCCTCGGAGTCTTTGAGTTATTTTTTTCTTTTTGCATTGTTAACAGTCCTTTAAGAACTTCTTTAATGGTGCCTACTCTAAAATGCAGAAGCTAGAATAGATTAGAATACAATTTAACTTTATTGTCATTACACTGTCACAAGTAAAAATCAACAAAATTAACTCTCTGCTTTTAATGCATCTCCTTGGGGAGCAGTGGGCTTTTATTGTGCGGCTCCCGGGGTGCAGTGTGGGGGTTAAGCGTCTTGCTCAGGGACCCAGAGTGGCAGTCTGTGGGAGTGCGGCAAAAGCTTCACATTATGCATTAAATAAAGACCTCAAAGGATGTTTATGAAGATGAAAAAGGTAGACCACGATAGCAAATGTGTTGCTGAAGATCTTCAGTGATCAAATGGTGGAAAAAATTCAATAGTCTTGTCAATGTCTTCTATTAAGATAATGCTGCTTCCTTCAGAACGGCTACCACTCCTGCCATTTCAGCTCCATATGATCACAGATGCTTTATGCTCCTACTTAGGACCATCATGTATGCGCCTAAATTTAGCCTATTTCATCACAAATTTCTTAGGCTACACTGGTAGGACAAAGGTTTACTGATATACAATTAACAAGAAAGTTTTCCATCTAAGCTAAAGTAGTTCACAGCTGATTTTCTCTTAAAGTTAACATGGTATGGCTCTCAAGACTTCAGCAACATGTTAGTTCCCCTTAAGGCTACTATTTTAGTAAAAGACTGAGTTTCTAGCAGAAAATGGCTTTATCCATAAAATCTCTCATTAAACATCTGAAGGTACTTCAGCTTCCTTCAAAAGTCAAAATCCATGAATCTAAGATGTCTCAGTCAAACTAAATTGTCCTGAGATAATCAGAATTGCCCCATTATAGTAAAGACAATGAATGGAAAAATAAATGAATAAGCTTGAAATCTAAGAGATATGACAACAGAATTCTAAGCTACCTCAAGTAACAAAGTTGAACTGTCAAAATTAGGTTGTGGGGAAAAGTCTGCCTATTTTATTATTTATAAATCATACAGGAGCAAAAATCAATAACTTCACACATCTTTATGCTTTTATTGTCTCAGGTGTCTTGGTTGTTCATTTTTAGCTTTGTGAAATAAAGGAAGGGATTTCAGGCATTAAAATAGATGACAGATTAAGTAATACAAGAAAAAACATAGGCAGCTTTCAAACAGTTGTGTATGAAAATAAAAATACTTTTTTCACCTACAATATTGTATTTTGGAATAATCATGTTCTGCTACATATGAAATTACCTACCTAATTCTAACTAATGTCTGCCCTTAAAGAACAGAATTGCTACATAGATTATCTGTTGTTGGAACATATTCGTCTTGGACAGGTCATATCTACCCAGACTTTACTTTTTTCTCTCATATGATACTGTCGTCGTTTAGTTAGTTAATGTGTTTGCCTTGCATTGTTGTAGAAGTTTAGAGAATCCCGTATCTTATAAAAGATCAGAATATAAGAAATATTTTATGAAATACAATCTGTTTGAACCTTTTTAACCTCAAATTCTGAAAAAAAAAACATCACTTATTTTTTATAAAAGATTACCAAGTAAAAAATCTGCTAATATTGTACAGAAGAAACAAAGTATGAAATATTAAACAATGCTGTCTTTTCTCAAATACTATTTACAGATATACATGAACAGAACTGGCTGCACCAAATACAAAATATTACAGCCTACAGACATAACTACAATCTCTTGATACTTCCGTACCAAATCCCAGTCGGTACAGTAGTAGAAAAGCTTTGTTCTGCATTGGGTACCACATGATTTAAAGTAACTCAAAAGACTAATGGGTACCAAGTTGTACTATTTAGAAATATCTGCCAGTGTCCGTGATGCCTGTATGAGCCAGCTTGAGTTTTCAGTCTTTAAGTCATGCAGATCCTTCAGCTCCAGCTCCTTGCACAGAGGAAGTCTTAGATGGACACTATAAAACTGGAACCACCACTATGAAGACAGAACACAACATGTAATTAATATATTTCTTAATATGTTTTTTGCTTTGCCCTCAGCAGAGGAATAAAACCTAGATAGAGCTGATAGGACAATGGAAGAAGATAAATATAGGAGGAGAGACAAAGAGAGCCTCTTAGAAAGTCTTGAGACTGGGGAAGAAAATTCAAGTTATGGTCAGATAATTGCACTATACATACAGCCAGTGCTACAACAGATTTGTTTAGGTCAAAGCATCAGTTGTTGTTTTGGACACAAAGCCAGAGGGGCCAGACTGAGATGGTTTAGACATCTACAAAGTACATAAAGAGTATGTCAATAGAAAGATTTTAAGGCTGGAACTCCCAGGCAGGAGGCCTAGCGGAAGACCAAGGAGAAATGAAAGAGAACACGAAGGCAGCTGGTGTAACAGAAAAAAAAATGTAAACAACGGGGTTACATGGACACGAGTGGCTTGCTTTGGCAATCCCTGAAAGAGAACATTCGAAACAAGATTTTACATCCAAAGCCAACATTTTTTCAATTCAATTCAATTCAGTTTATGTATAAAGCACACTCCAATTTACAACACGTCATCTCAAAGGCACTTTAAAATTCAACCAGATCAAACAGTCAAATTGATTCAAAGTTTTCTATCTAAGGAAACCAGTTGATTGCATCGACTTACGGCCTTGAATGTAATCTCTCACACTTAGCATGCTTGTAGAGACAGTTGTGAGGAAAAACTCTCTTTTAACAGGAAGAAACCAGGCTCTGTGTGAGCGGCCATTTGCTGATGCAGACTGGGGTTCAAGGAGACAGAGACAGACATATAGAAATAAGCAGAGATACAAAGGCAACTGTAAACCAGCTCCACTGGCAGCCCCTCCAGGAAACACATAGCAGGGCAGACAAGCTCCGGCCAGCTCCCATGTCAGAGGATGAAGAGAGCACATCCAGCCAGTCAAAGTTAGGGAAACAGGACTACACTGTAAAAACAGGCAGATCTCGAACAAAGGTGTTGATGAGAGCAGCACAGCTGATATTTCTCTCCAGGATGGTGTGACAGCCAAATAGGAACATACAATAAAAAAGCTACTATGAGAAAAAGCAGAGAGATCATAGTGTTAGAGATTGAACTAAGAAATTCTACAGAGTGGGAGAATAGAAAATGGTGAAAAAGGGGTCCCTATGTCCTCCAGCAGTCTAAGCCTCTAGCAGCATAACTATAGAGATAACTCAGGATAATCTGAGCAACTCTAACTATCTAACTAAAAGACCTACGTACAAGTACAGTCTTGATTAAAGGGGTCATAGAATCATTATATAGGGTATTTGGTGCTGGTCCTTAAAGGAATAGTACACCCAAAACATGATTAGCCTTCATTTTCTACTCACCCCCATGCTGAACAACACACTGGAGTACTTTTTTGATATCTCAAATGCATATGGAGATCTGGGAGGCTTCTTGCTGTCTGCTGACATTCAAATAATAGAGGTGCCCAGCGCCCGAGGCAGAAAGGTCCATAAAAGTCCACAAAAAACTTTTCAATATTCCTCCATACTGCTCGTCCAATGTATTCCAAGTGTCCTGAGTGGGTAGCATCCAGAATTTACTCGAAACGAAGTCATTTAGAATGTTTTTAGAGCATAAACAGTAGTGTATAGGATTTCCTGAAAGCGTGTTCACGACGCTACGGAAACCGTGGCAGACCAAAACAGATGAAAGTGCGCATTCAGCTCGGCAAAGAACTCATGCTCTTCCTCAACACTGAAGTCCTCAGACATTTTTCTTTCGTTGTTTCTTTCTTTGCACAGGTAAACAGCACATTTCTTCTTCTACGCTTGCATTATTGGCAGAGCAGACGCTGAATGCGCACTTTCATCTGGTTTGGTCTGCCGGCTTCCGTAGCGTCGTGAACGCGCAGGTGCGCGCTTTCAGGAAATCCTATACACTACTGTTTATGCTCTAAAAACATTCTAAATGACTTTGTTTCGAGTAAATTATGGATGCTACCCACTCAGGACATTTGGAATACATTGGACTAGCAGTATAGAGGAATATTGACACGTTTTCTGTGGACTTTTATGGACCTTTCTGTCTCGGTCACCATAGACCTCCATTATTTGAATGTCAGCAGACAGCAAGAAGCCTTCCAGATCTCCAGATGCATTTGAGATATCAAAAAAGTACTCCAGAGTGTTGTTCAGCATGGGGGTGAGTAGAAAATGAAGGCTAATCATGTTTTGGGTGTACTGTTCCTTTAAGGTCTCTGAATAGGGTGTGTAACATTGGTTGGGCTGAAAATCATCTATTTGCTGTTCTATGCGCCCTAATGCAAGCCTGGTAAAAGCCCTAGAATGAAACGAGAGGTTTTCTTCCTTTTATGGTATGCTCATGAATATTTAGATGAGCTGTGCACTGATTGGTTGGTTTACAATGACCGAAGCTGCTGAGCAAAGATGCATCATAGCAACAAGCACTCACTCACTGAAACATCGAAATTGTTGATATGGTAGGGTGACCAGACGTCCCCTTTTTCACTGACATTTCTTACTTTTCATACCTAAAAAAATTTCCGGGAGGAATTTCAAAATCGTCCAGGATTTGGTCTACTACAGTACAGCAGGACCGAGCCGTGAGCTCTGGTGCTGGTCCGGTGCAGGGAGCCAGTGGGGGACAGAGTGCCTGAACCCGCTTGTTGACAGAGGCCAGGACGCAGGCTGCCCCATGCATCCCCCCGCCTGCCTTACCGGCCCCCAGCCCCTTCCTCCAGCTGAGTATGGGCAGCTCATGGCTCTCTGCTGAGGTCCAGTCCAGTCAGCTGCCCAGCAGTCAACCGTTCATACCCGCCCCTCCAGGGCATGACAAAAGTACAGGCCAGAACCAAATAAGACAACATCCCAGAGTTTACATCAACTCAGGGCTTCGTTTGAATTGGCCCGTTTTAAGGTGGAAGTTTAGAATTGTGAGATTTGTAGAGAAAGGAGGTGTCGATGGGGTTTGAACTTCTCTGTACATCCATTTCACCCACTGAACTATCGTTATTCATCTATGACAATCTAAACATGGTTTTGCATTCTATTACCCCTTTAAACGTTTAAATTATGTCTGCTGAAGATGGAAAAAAAGCAAAAGAAAACAAACATGTAATATTTCTGAAACAGTTTAGTTTCAATTTCCAAATGCTCAGATTTTAAGAAGGTACTCACACTCAGAAGTCCGTTCACAGATGAATCCTATGCGGTCTGTGCAGTAGAAATCGTTCCATTTAGCATGTTGGATAAGACCTGCACAATCTTCACCATTTACATGACCATGAGTCCAGTTATCTGGCTGACCAGGTTTCCAGTTTCTGATGGTAATAAAAAGGCAAATTCGTAAAATTTATTTATGCAAAGAGAAATTAAAGGCACACTATGCAACATTTTTAAGTTAATTAATGTGTTCCATAACGTTTTGGATGATTAAATGAGTCATTTCAGGTTGAACAAAGGTATTCTCGGCCGCCCTGGTGGTCTGTGGGGGAAATACCGCACTTGCAATTGCAGGAGCACCGTCCCGCACCCACAGGCTCAGAAGTCTCATGAGAGTCAATCTTGCTTTACGACGAGAACTGCTACATCCCCCAGTTAAAAGCATGCTCGTTGCTAGCACAGTGGCGATCTTTGTGCAGTTATGCTACGTTCACATCGGACGCAGCAAAATCACGTCTGCTGCTTCATTTTTACTGCTTTTTACTATCCTTTCTCTGCCTTGCAGCTATATTTGCTGTGATCAGTGGGAATAAAGTAGTTTTAATATGTGTTTAAGTGAGAAAATACACCTGAAAACGTAATCAGTGCCGTCAGTTCATTCAGATTATTATCCTGCCTTCAATATTTTTTCTGTCGGAGCCGCTCAGACCCCCACATACCAGCGGTGCGCCGACAGTCGGAATCCCTTCATCAGCAGTCTCTGGCCGGGTTGCCTCCTCGCGGTTCTGCGGGGCAGCTGGTAGGTGTTTTTCATCTAAATAATCCAAACTGCAGGCAGCAGGATAATAAAAGCCAACATTTTCTGCTGGCAGATTTCTGCATTTTAAGTTAATTTAGGTGTCAATAAACTGTTTAAGAGGAGTGATCATCAGCGCTGTGTCTCTCTCCCTGCGTCAGATGATTAAACGTGCCCGACGCGCTGCTTCAGCTGCTCAGACGCGCTGCGCCTGCTGCTCAAAACGCGCCGCGGGACCTTTTGCTGCGCCTTGAAGAGCGTCAACCATTAACTTTGCATGTAAACTCGCTGCTTCTGTCGCGCCAGCTGCGTCCAGTGTATGCATTCGTTGCGTTCGCCTGTCTGCTAAGCTCAAAACAACCGCGCCTGGCTTGACGGAGAAACCAGGAGAACAGCTGTGCATATTTACGACAGTGCACTTTTACTTTCGCCCTCTGGGGGGAGCCTCGCTGGAAAATCAACACCGGTTGCATAGTGTACCTTTAAAATAAGAAGTGGAAAAAAAATAAACCACTTAACTTACGTAAACACTGGTATGGTTCCATCCACCCACTTCCAGACATTTTCCTCCTCCTTGTCAGTAAGACCCAACCAGAAATATCCCTTGTTTAAGACTGAATTTTTTATAAATTGCTGGACAAAAAGCACAAGAGAGATAAATAATTTAAACAATAACGTGAAATAACTGGTCTGATTATCTGAATGTATTAGTATATTCACCTGCTCTTCATTGTCATTGATGATGAGCAAATGGGAGGACATGTTTTTACAGAACTTGCTTGCTTCATTAAAGTTAAGTCTTTGGGAACTAGAAGAGAAGTAATAGCAGCTGTTCCCAAACCCTCGGAATTCCGGAGGACAACCTGGAAGAAATAAATATTCATTTTTCCAAGTGTAGATAGAAACAGTTTTTGTCAGGGTAAAAATTCTTGCCATAACATTTACCAATGTTTTGTTGTAATAATCATCTCCAGTATTTTTGATTATATGAAATGTTAAATTCTTTAAGAGATACAAGTTTTCCATTTCACAGTGCTGAAAGATAGGTTTCATATTGTTGGTGTGTAAAGTTGAACTCACCAGGTGTGGTAGTGGAAACAGCAGCTGGAGGTTGTTCTTGTCTTGATGCAGAGGTTCTCGATTTTTCTGTTGTTACTGGAGCTAAACTTGGTATAGGAGCTTCGACAACATGGGGGGCACTGGAAGGTTTGATAATGACAGGCGGTCCAGGGAGACCTGGAGGGCCCGGGGGACCAGCAGGGCCTATTGGACCAACGTGCCCACGAGGCCCCTCTATCCCTGGAGGTCCTGCTTCTCCTCTAGGTCCCTGTGGTCCTTGTGGTCCTGGCAATCCAGATTTTCCATCCAACCCAGGATATCCATTAGCTCCAGGGTCGCCTTTCTCACCAGGGGTTCCAGGTCTACCTCCAATCCCTCTTGATCCTTTAGGTCCTGGAAGCCCACGAGCTCCAGGTAAACCTTTTGGACCAGTCCCTCCTGGTGGTCCAATAGCACCTCTGTCTCCCTTTGGCCCCACCTGGCCTGGCATTCCTTTGTCTCCTTTATCACCTTTTTTCCCTGTCTGACCCATTGGGCCTTGGGGACCTGTATCACCCCTGGAGCCTTTTGGACCTGGTGGACCTAAACCAATAAAATGTGCTTGTTAGCATTAGGATTCTTTTGGATCTTAACATTGAAATACATATATTTTTTCTATTGTATCTATTGAAACAGGTGTGCTACTACTATGAGGTAAAGCAGATTTTGTACAAGAAATCCACTTCCAGCAACAATCATTTACCCTAAAGAATGTTCTTTGTGAATGTTTTCCCTACTAGTTTCCAAACACAGCAATCAAGAAAGTATTTACTCCCATTGCAGCAAAGTCGAGCTCTGTCAGTGACTGAGAGTAATTTAGAAATGTACCTAAATCCAAGGATTCTGTCAGAGCGATTCCACTTTAAGTTTAGAGAAAGTATAAGTCAGAGGAGTACAATACTTCTCTCCTGGGGGGATCCAGATGGGATAAAATATTGATAAATTATTTTAACAGGAGGGACTTTCTTTTTACAGCAGATGGCTATAGACAGATATCCATCTACAGGTGCTGGTCATAAAATTAGAATATCATGAAAAAGTAGATTGATTTCAGTAATTCCATTTAAAAAGTGAAACTTGTATATTATATTCATACATTACATACAAACTCATATATTTCAGATGTTTATTTTGTTTAATTTTGATGATTACAAATGACAACAAATGAAAATCTCAAATTCATCATATCAGAAAATTAGAATATTACTGAAGACCAATAAAAACAAAGGATTTATAGAAATGTTGGCCAACTGAAAAGTATGAACATGAAAAGTATGAGCATGTACAGCACTCAGTATTTAGTTGGGCCTCCTTTGGCCTGTATTACTGCAGCAATGCGGCGTGGCATGGAGTCGATCAGTCTGTGGCACTGCTCAGGTGTTATGATAGCCCAGGTTGCTCTAATAGTGGCTTTTAGCTCTTCTGAATTGTTGGGTCTGGTGTATTGCATCTTCTTCTTCACAATACCCCATAGATTTTCTATGGGGTTAAGGTCAGGAGAGTTTGCTGGCCAATTAAGAACAGAGATACCATGGTCCTTCAACCAGGTACTGGTAGCTTTGGCACTGTGTGCAGGTGCCAAGTCCTGTTGGAAAATGAAATCTGCATCTCCAAAAAGTTGGTCAGCTGCAGGAAGCATGAAGTGCTCTAAAACTTCCTGGTATGTGGCTGCGTTGACCCTGGACCTCAGAAAACACAATGGACCAACACCAGCAGATGACATGGCACCCCAAACCATCACTGACTGTGGAAACTTTACACTGGACTTCAAGCAACGTGGATGAAGTGCCTCTCTTCTTTTCCTCCAGACTCTGGGACCTTGATTTCCAAAGGAAATGCAAAATTTACTTTCATCAGAGAACATGACTTTGGACCACTCACCAGCAGTCCAGTCCTGTTTCTCTTTAGCCCAGGCAAGACGTTTCTGACGCTGTCTGTGGTTCAAGAGTGGCTTGACACAAGGAATGCGACAGCAGAAACCCATGTCTTTCATACGTCTGTGTGTGGTGGTTCTTGAAGCACTCACTCCAGCTGCAGTCCACTCTTTGTGAATCTCCCCCACATTTTTGAATGGGTTTTGTTTCACAATCCTCTCCAGGGTGCGGTTATCTCTCTTGCTTGTACACTTTTTTCGACCACATCTTTTCCTTCCCTTCGCCTCTCTATTAATGTGCTTGGACACTGAGCTCTGTGAACAGCCAGCCTCTTTAGCGATGACCTTTTGTGTCTTGCCCTCCTTGTGCAAGGTGTCGATGGTCGTCTTTTGGACAACTGTCAAGTCAGCAGTCTTCCCCATGATTGTGTAGCCTATAGAACTAGACTGAAAGACCATTTAAAGGCTTTTGCAGGTGGTTTGAGTTAATTAGCTGATTAGAGTGTGGCACCAGGGGCCATCAATTTTGAACCTTTTCACAATATTCTAATTTTCTGATATGATGAATTTGAGATTTTCATTTGTTGTCATTTGTAATCATCAAAATTAAACAAAATAAACATCTGAAATATATGAGTTTGTATGTAATGTATGAATATAATATACAAGTTTCACTTTTTAAATGGAATTACTGAAATCAATCTACTTTTTCATGATATTCTAATTTTATGACCAGCACCTGTAATTTAAAAGAAAGTAGGAACTGTTTTTCAGGGGATACATTTCTATGCTGAATGTTTTGCCTTTACTCTGTGGCCGTGGAAACACAGAAGAATAACTATGGCCCCAGAAAACTACCAGAGTTCCTTTAAAAGGTTTGATGTTTTAAAAAGGTTAAATGTTAATCTCATAACTTTAGTATCATAACTTAATGATAGCAAAGATAAATGTTTATCACCTGTACTGAACTGATAATTATTTTTTCAGTAACATATATCCAACATGCTCACAAATAATACTGTTTCTACTTACCCTGCAGGATTGTGAAGTTGGTAATCAGCTGTGAGTGCTGTTTGTCTACCAGCTTCATCTCCTCCATCACCATAGACAGGTTGATCACTTCTTGGTCCAACCTGCTTGCAAGCTCCTCCTGCTTCATGCGCAGGTCTTTGCTGTTGGCCTTGACATCTTCCATAGTAGTATTCAGTCCTGCTAACAGGTCGGTATGTCTCATTACTGTTTCAGCGCACGATCTCAAGCCAGTCAGATCAGAGCTGATGACACCTAAAATTTGTGTTGCAAAGCTCATGTTTCCTGTAACGCGGTCCATGTTGCTTTCATGCCTTTCCAATCGTGCTTCCATCTCCTCAAACTTTGATGAGGTGACATTATCGTTATCTCTCTGTCGGTCCATTAGCTCACGTAAGCCTTGGTCATGGGTCTCTGCAATGGCTGAGGTGTTTTGTATTTGACTGGCCAAATCATTCAGCTGGGCTCTCAAATCATTTAGTGTATCTCCATTGGATGTGGCCAGAGCAGAATTATTTGCAGCCAGAACCTGAAGATTCTGGAGTTTTTGTTTCAACCACTGTGAGTCTGAACGCGTTCGATTGGCTGTTTGCTGCAGAATCTGATAGTCATTCTTTAGATTCTGTACTGCCTGGCTAACATCTTCAACTGTCTTCTGCAGCGTGCTGAGCAAGTTCTGCTGCTGGCCTTGTGTGATATTAAGAAAACTGATGCTAACTTGAGCCTCACTTTGCACTTTGACCTGGTCCTGGAGCTCAGACTGGAGCCGCGCAGTGTCTGCCTGCAGGTCATCAATCATTCCACTGTAGGAAGCCAAGGACTGGTTGATCCCTCGCAGTGAGTCTGCGTTGCCAGCCAGAAAACTTTGAAGCGAGAGATGGCCATTCTTCATGTTGTCTCCTGAGACCAGCAGTTCTTCTAATATGTCTCTGTTGTTTGATGATTTACTGCTAATGTCGTTCAGTTGGTTTTGCAATGCTTCCAGGTCTGATTTGAAGGTATTAATTTCACTGGTGGCGTTGAGGGACTTCTCTTCTGCTTGATCATCTGTAAAAAAGACTTCAGTATAAGCAGGCTATACAGCATCATTTAGAGATGCATCAGGCCAATACATTTTTGTTTTTACCGATAAAATGATATTGCATGTTAATGGTGCCAAGATTAAGGCTATTTGGCACCCCGGGATTGGCACCAATACTACGCAATGATATCAAACAGATTTTTTAATTGTGAGGACTGTAGCTTTAGTAGCTAAGGAAATAAATACAATTTGGTGCACGTACTTTTAAAAAGGATTTAGATTTGAATCTGACAGAAAATGAATGAGTTTGATTATCCTAACACATTCTTAAGTAGTTCTGTTATCGTCAGATGTTTTTAGTAAAAGGAAAAAAAAAAAAACAGGGCATTTAAGTACAATATATGTCTTTGGTTGGTGCAATACCCGGGTGAAATAATTGGTTATTGCTATAATGGGTAAAATAAATGGGAACTTTCCTGAAAAACACAACATGTTCAGCATTAGAACTTAAAATCACAGATCTGAACCGATTTAGGGAAACTTCGTTATTCCAAACATTGATTTAATGATTAGTCCATCTCTAATATTATTATTAATGAAAAACTTAAAAAGTCATTATTCCCTTTGAATGAGTGTATGATGAAGCTACCTAATTCTACACAGACTTACCTAGTTTCTTGAAGTCCATTTCCACAGCATCAATCTTGACCCCATAATTCTGCATGCCCTCTGTGACATTGTCCATCCTCTGAACAACTAGAAAAAGACACATTTTCATGGAAACTGACACACATAATGTGGATTTAATCATTCTTTAAAATTTCTACTGTCTTTGGAACAGTTATCAGATAAGTAGTAGAATGTATAATATTCTTGTTTTGTTTTTTTTTGCTGAGCTGAAAGTTCATTTATACCAGCAGAGGGTGCTGTTGTATTTTTACCTATGTGGAGGGAGTCACCAGGCACACGTTAATCTTTGGAGTCATCCAAAGCTAAAAGTTAAGGAAGTTATTATTAACTCCACTTCAGGAGTATAAATGTGAAAGACTATTGGAGTTGCATATCCTTATAGTCTAATTATTTTTTCTCTCATGTCTTTTAATCTTTCTCAGTAGGTGGACGTCTATGAACTCAAGTGGAAAACATTCTAAATTGTCACTGTTGTCATTCCAGGAGGGACAAAAACACAAAGCAAAAACATTCCCTAAGGTTAAACAAAACAAAAGCATGAAAGAACTCTTGGCCAACTGCTCTAGCGCCTATACATGTCTTTCTTTCTTTATCCGTCTAAAATCTCTCCCTATCAATTAGATAAAGTTCAGTTTATTTATATAGCACCAATCCACAACACAAGGTTTAAAAATTATTTAAAAACAACCCAAATAGTCATACTTCTGAAGCATTTTATTCCAAAATAACAATTAAAAACATTTGCTGTCAGTTTATTGCAATATAAGTATAATAAAAAATCAGATATCGTTTGTCTTAGTTTATTGAACTAGTGAGTGATTAGTGATTTCAATCAAACAATGTAAATTTATTGTTTGATCAGATCAAAAAGGGATCAGATCCAACAAAAAATGCATTAAAATTTGACTAACATTATGTTTAGAGGGTGATCAGCGCGTTGCTTTAGTCTCTTTGTAATAATGTAACTGTAAATTACCTTTAATGTATTAAACATATCAGTTAATTTACTGTTTTGTGTGTGTGTGTGTGTGTGTAATTGGTGTTCTAAAAAGCAACCTCAAAGTCAGCTCACACTTTCTTTATATTTAGAAATATAGGTAATTTATGCTTTATTTTGAAAGTCTCTCAGCGAGACCTCTAGACTTCAGTTTTTTTTTTTTATGCTTACTAACAGGTCTGCATAAAAAAAAGGTGTTTGATAGGTGTAACATGTGTTAGCGGTAGCAAGCTTTAGCCATGTATGTGCATGTCTATTTATAGCTAAGCTAATTTGTTTGTTTTATTAATAGATCAGAATAATTTGTGTGTTTATCTACGATCTGCTAATTTTAAACAGTTGTTCATTGGATTAAAAGGAAAGCTAATTGTATTTCTTATTTTCTTATAGCTCTTACGGTGAGTTCATATAATGCCTTCAATGATCGTTCTAAAATAAAAGAATATGTTTAAGAGTCAGAACATCAACTAGCCAAGACTACAGTCCCTCCACACCATTGATCAAGGGAAGCTGCCGAGGGACTTGATGTGATGGTCAAGGATTGTGACACCTATACAACATGGAAGCATCAACCAAAACACCTCAGGAAGACAGAGACTCTGAACAGACAACGGATAAGGCAAATGAAGAAGAGCATCTCCGTTGCTCTGGTTGTGTACGGAATCCAATGAGAAGATGCTTGCATATCAGGCTGAGGAGGCTCACAAAAAGGAAAAAAGGGTTAGCTCACATTTATGAACAATGGAAAACCCTAGGCTAGAGAGTAACTAAAGGAAAACATTCCTAAAAGTGACAATGCAGCTCTTATAGACACACTGGAGGAAGGAAAGAGTTGTGTTGGTAACATATATGGAAATTAGAGCTCACCTCACTCCATTGATGCTTGTGAGGCAGTTACAAAGGACATTATAAAAATTGTTCTTGAAAGGATATCAGGCATTGATGGAGAATATGACGGTGAAACAGTAAGGTAAATTCTACACGAGCTTCTTAACAGAGATTATGCTTGCTCCATCTACGGCTCCACAGCTTCACCTTCAAGTCGTCACTCAAGTAAAGGTTCCAGCTACTACTCTGTCATAGCTGCAAAAAGAGCAGATGCTGAGCCAGAACTAGCAGCTAAGGAAGTGGAGTATGTAGTGTTGTTGGAGGAGGAGAAACAAAAAGAAAAGATTCAACTCCTAGAGGAGCAACAGAGGAACAAACTTGAGGCTCAAAAACGCAAACTGGAAGGATTAAAGGCAGAGAAAGACATGAGAGCTGCACGAGTTAGGTTCACAACCTATGTTTAGGAAGTCATGCAGGAAGCAAGTGCTCATTCTACTGAGCAGAGGAGAACAAGAGAACTTACAGGGGTCTCAAACCGGTTCCATAAAGGGCCGTGTGGCTGCAGGTTTTCTTTGCAACCAAGCAATAGCACACCAGACTCCATTCATCAAGTCATCATGTTCAGATTGCATTCAGTTGATGAGATGACTGAAGTCTGGTGTATGATTGCTTGGTTGGAAAGAAAACCTGCAGCCACACAGCCCTTTCTGGAACCGGTTTGAGACCTCTGAACTACAGCATGTGTATTCTGAACAATCTGTGTCCTCAGCTCTCCTCCAGTGGCCTACTGATGTCAGAGAGACTGTGTCACATGCACGGACAAATGTAAGTTATCTGGCTCAAGCTGTCCAAGATAGCATAGCTTTGAACAGGCTTCCAATGCCAGAACCATCTGTATTTACTGGTGATCCTATTCAGTTTGTTGAATGGAAGGCTTCATTCACATCTCTCATTGATAAAAAGAATATTGCTTCAGGTGATAAACTGCATTATTTGAAAAAATATGTTGCAGGTCCATCTAGGAAGACACTTGATGGCATATTTTATAGAAATGACGATGAAGCTTATAATGATGTATGGAACTGTCTCAATAGAAGGTATGGTCAGCTATTTGTTATACAAAAGTAGGGCTGCAACAACGAATCGATAAAATCAATAAAAATCGACTTTTAAAAGCGTTGGCAACGAATTTCATCATCGATTAGTTGTGTCGCGCGATTATTGCGTCATCCGCCACGCCGTCATCACTGCCTCTTGACTGAAATATGGCAGAGCGAGTCAGCGCTGCAGGTGCAGTGTTGCCAACTCAGCGACTTTTCAGACCCCTCCAGCGACTATTTTTAAAAAAAGCGACTAGCGACAAATCTGGCGACTTTTTTCGATGTCACTGGCGGCTTTTAGAGACTCTTACGTGAAAGCATGTATCGTTCCTACTCTGCCGTGGGGCGCCTCCCCCACCCCAACCGCGTTTTCCCGAAGGAGTCCCTCTCAGTGCTGCAGTCAGAGCCTCAGCGTCCAGACTGCAAATGAAGCGCGCATGCACCGGGATTGACGGCGCAAATTGATCACAATAATTAAAATAGCATGCGCTTTGTAAAGCGAAAAAAGTGATAACATGCAACTTTTTTCAAAAGAAATTAACATGGCACGGAACCACCATGTTTGTTTGGTTTTAAAGTGGGGAAACGTTACGTTAGTTTCTCAGGTAGCTCATCTGATGCTTTCCTTACCGTGTTAGAAGTTTACAGACAGTGATAAGGTTGGCTACTTATTTTACTTTTAATTTCATTTGAATTAGCTTAAGCAGCGTTTACATTTACTTTATAAATAAATTAACTTGCAAATTATGAGGGCAAGGTTTTTAAAGTTTAAATCTTCTGGCAAAGAAAGTAAAGAAGATCCTGCAATTTATGGAAGTAAAGCAGAATAAAATCCAGCAAGATCAGTAATATGTCAATTAATTATATGCCACATTCCCATGTAAATTGGAGTCTTTGGAGGATGTGTTTTTTAACACCCCTAGTTCTCTCATTTTTATTCCAAATACAATTTATAATTTGAATCACAGGGCTATTTTTATCTCTATGGTTCTGTATTTTCTCAAGTAGCAACTTTAACTGCTATACTTTCCTGTCTTAAAAGGCAGAACTCTTCTAGTCTAAAAAAACTCATTTGTTGAAATGGGGGGGCCTATTGTTTGAACCCCTTAGGGGCTTTTAAAAACAAAAATGCCTGTCTTTTTTGCGCTTTATGAAACAAAGTACCCTATATTTTGTGGATGTACAGCTACATTTCTCATGTAAGTTTGCGTAGTTTTAACACATTTATTTTTCATATTGCACCAGTACAGTTAATGAGCAACCTGTACTTGTGTGCTTGTTTGTTTTGTCTAAAATGTTTATTTTGGAATAAAGAGGTTAATATAAAAAATATTTTTTGTCCGATTCATCGATTAATCGAAAAAATAATCGTCCGATTCATCGATTTTTAAAATAATCGTTAGTTGAAGCCCTATACAAAAGGCATTCAGGGTAAAACTAAAAAACTTGCCAAAGAGCCATCCAAAAGATGCAGAAGGACTCAGAGAATTTGCTGACTTTTTACACTCATGTCTAGAAGCAATGCCTTATATCAAAGGTCTTGCTATTGAAAATGATTGTGAAGAAAATCAGAAACTTGCTCAAAAGCTACTGGGTTGGACAGCATCACAGTGGAGTCGGAAAGTCACCCAAGTCATGAGAGATGATCAAGAATTTCCCACTTTCCAGAAGTGTAATCCTATCGCCTCATTCCAATGCTCTCCATTTATCAGAGGCTAACCCTCCACGTCATCTGAAGGAAAAGAAATATAAATCTAGTGTTTATCACATGCAAGCAGTAACAGAGACTGAAACTCAAGGACATTTGAAAATAAGTCTAAAGCCACCATGTATGTTCTGTCAGAACAGTAAACATCTACTTCATCATTGTCCTGAGTTCAAAAGAAAAGATCTGGAGGAACGACGGAAGTATGTGAAAGACAAGAAACTTTACTATGGCTGCTTGGGGACAGGCCATAATGCAAAAGATTGATGTAATAGACTTTTATGTGAGAACTGCTAAGGAAGACATCCTACACTTCATCATGACGATAATTACACCAAAGCCAAACCCGCATCAGTCCCAAATATAAGCACTACAGAGGAAACAGTATATACATTGTCTCTCAGTGTGATAACTAAGGAATCATCTACTAACACTT